AATAAAAACCAACAGGTTTCTGCATCTTGATCCTCTGAATTTAACTTCCATTTAGAGTAAAATCTCGTTAGAACCAAGTGTTTGGGACTTCAAAATTTGTTTGCACTGTATACCTTTTTTTATAAAGAGATTTTAAAAGTTAATGACTTGAAACAATTTTCATATCAGACCTGCCTATGATCAATTAGATCTTGCTTTTCTGGCATTCTCAGATTTGTTTTTATTTTTTGAAAAACTGAGTGATCTTTTGTAGAAAAATTCAGCTGCAATCATGCATTCCATCAGTTGCACGAAACTCTTCATTCTGGGAGGATGTTACTGTACATGGAACCACTGGGAAGCATTTCTGTTATTGATCACAGCTACTAAATTCTAAGTTTCTTGATCTTCTGTTTGGCTCTCTAATCGCATTTTTCGGCAAACCGTGGAATGGCTGAAGAATGATTACATTTTGCTAGTTTTCCCCTTCTCTTCGATTTGATTTTTAAAAAATGCAAAAATTGATGCCTTTTAAATTCTTGCTGTGAAGGATTACAGTATTACAGCTTCCAGGCATGCTACAAGAACCAGCCAGTCACATTTGTGATTTGAGTGCCGCCCACACATTTTTTTCCAAAACATTTGAGCAGGAAAGTAGACGCGCATCATAGTCTGTTTCAAATTTTCAAGCGACATTTTTGTGAAAATGGGAAACTTTTCTTTCAACTTTCAAGTTTTTTCAGACTTTTCTGTTCCAATGCTAGAATTATTTGTATGATACAAAGAGTATTGCCATTGAATGTGATTTTCAAGTGGGCTTGAATTTACGTTTTTACGCAACGCAGCTTTTCAAATGGGAGTTTTGGTAATTGAAAACTATGGTGCGCATCGTATTAAAATGTTTGAAAATTTATAGCTCAAAAGTCTAAGGTTCTCGTCTCACTCGACACCACATGGTACTTGAGGAAATACTGGTAATGTTGGCTCAGTTTAAGTTCAGTGAGATCAGATGATTCAGGCACTGACTAAATGTCCACATGGCTATCCAGGAAACGGTAAGAAAAAAAAATTCTGTAATGTACTTGTGTTTAGTTCGATCTTCAGGCCTTATTCCAAGTGTGATTCATCTTCCTAGAACTTGTGAAATTGTTTAAAGGTGATGATTTTTTTTTGGATTCCTGGAATGTCTTTCTTTTCTTCTCAGGCAACACGAGCATTGGACCAACTCTGCAGCACATGTGGGACCAGGAGAAAGTACATCGGGCAACCTTTGAAAAGCTGATTCCGAAGTACCGAGCGAGACCCACGGCTCTTCTTCCTATCTGGAACATCGCGGGTTTCGCGTTGGGTGCTGGTGAGATTTTTCAGAAGGCTTTCAAATCCATTCTGTCCCGTTTTCGATGTATCATTAAGA